TGTTCAGACTTCAAAAGATATCAATAAACTGCCATCTTTGTAGTCAAAAATCTTTATTGATGTAGAAAATATATTTATCAATATTACAGCTGTTTGTATTGCTTCACCTCAAAGCTCTCTGACAAGCTCACTATCAAATAGTAGACTTCTTGTCTTATTCACCACTAATTAATTCACATATTCTGCAGAATCATTTGATTGAGATGTATCTGAAGTTGTTACTTCATACACTATCTTCTTATTCTTGCAAAACATCTTGAGATCATCACTTTTGAACTCTTCATCATCATCTCAGTGTAGAGTTTCTACAGATCATTGAGATGTTGCTTCAATTATATCAATAAAGCTCATGAGCACTGATGTGATCTCTGCTTTTGTGACAATCAGAATAATTTATTTAAAATGAGTGATATCATTAGTAATCTTTATTTAGTATCTTGCATCTCTTTCAGTAAGTAGATTTTCTTCATTATATAGTGTTTTTCCTCCTTCTGCAAGGTTTATAAAAAATCTCATTGCTGATTTGGCAGCTATACTCATTGAAGCAAAAGACAAATGAGTCATTTTTATTTGCATATATATCTTGTAGAATGATAAAGTTTTTTAATCTCTTATTTATATTTTTAATCTAGAATCTGCAGTTATTTTTGATATATTCACTGAATTTAGATGATTCAGCTTTTGATGTCATTACGTCATTATATATTTCAAAGTTTTAATATCCTTCTTGAACAGCTTCATTAAAAGATCATCATTTGATTGCAAGATACATATAGGTTCAAAATCACTATTTGATATTATAAAATGAATTAAATCTCTTAATGCTAATGATTTCTTCATCATATAGATATTTTTTTCATTCAAATACACTATGAAGCCTGTCATTCTATCAGAAGATATCATTAAAATTGAATGGTTATTACTGTACATCAATTATTTGAAAGTATAATCTTTGTGTACAAGTTTTCTAAGACTTATTAGATTGATCTTCAGCTTCAGAATATGATAAATGTCATTCAGTTCAATATCTGATTTCTCAATTGAGATGTATACACTCTCTACACCTGCTATTGATATTATAGATTTATTTGTCATCTTTAATATAATATTCATTCTCTAAGGTGTAACCTCAATAATATTCTTCAGAGATGTGGTGTGAGCTTCTAATCTGAAGTCTAGAACTTACATATTCTTCATCACTTTATCACTGAAATAAATCATCTCTTTTGTAGAGAATACTTACTTTATAATATTATAAACTGAAGTAGTACTGTTTTTATTCTTATTTTTATGTTTATTTTTTTCTTTATAATCTGCAAGATATTTTTTTAGATATTTTGTTTAATAGTCAATCTTGAGATATTCTGTCTTCTGACAGTAATAGCATATCTTTTTCATATTGTTGCTATTCTACTTGAACTTCTTATCTTTATCTTTATCTTTAATTCTTAAATTTTTATTCTTACTCTTATTCTTTTTCTATAAATCTTAAGTATTATTTGTAGAATTTTTTGTATTTATTAAGACAGTATTCTGTTTAGAGACTGATAGATATAATAGAATATATTAACATAGTCTTATATAATATATCTCAGTATCACAAGTGTTAGCATCTTTTTCAGTGTGATTCATTCTATCTCTGATGAATGATGCTCATCTAGCACTGATACCAGTTAACAAGCAGTTGAAAAGAATAAAATCTTTAATCTTATATCTTAAACAAGTATATTTAGTCTGAATGATAATTAGGCATTCTATAAAAGCTCTATCTGAGTCTTTCATATTAGCTGTCAAGCTAATCAGTTTTTCAAAAAGACAGATGTGACAGACTATAGATCTCTCTAAGAAGTTCTCTTCTATGATTGTTCATAGAATATATACTAACAACTGATGATTTGAGAGTATTGTAAAATAAGATCTTACTTACATGATGATTGAAGACAACATATGATTATAGAGTCATATATTTCTTTCAATTCAAAAACATTACATATTCATACTGACATCATTCTCTGAGGTAGATTGCTTCTCATTAAAAATATTATTAATTTCAGATTACTTAGCAATCAGTATCATCTCTTCTCTCTCTATTAAATAATTCATAGAATCAGTCAGAATGATAAATTTCTTAATATACTTTACTTAATCTCTAAATTCAGTCAAGATCTTCATTATGACAGTAGTTCTGTCATTTTTTTGTAGATAGTTTGCAAGATCTTCACTCATTTCATTGTTACTAACATTGATAATTAGTGTCTCTCTACTAGCTCTTATCATTTCAACTTCTCACTGAAGTTTTACAATCTCTAATCTTATCAGAATTTCTTCACTAACTTCTGACACCTGGTCACTAGGGTCAACTGTATTCTCTGACATTTCATCAATCAGATCTTCATATATGTTATTAGACTTGTCTGATTCCTCTGGAATCATCTTATCTATTTTAAATACTTCAAAGGCACTTCTACAGACTGTAATAGATGTAGACAGTGAATCTGTGAGCTCTGAAATCCTATTCTCCAGGGTCCTATTCTCAGATCCTCAGTTTTGTCTCTTTTTTGACATGTATTCTTCTATCAAATCTGGTGTTTCACCTGAATGTAGATTAACTATCAATGTTATCCAATTGTTGTTTGTATATTTCCTCACATTGTTTGTAGCTGTTCATTCATAGCTGTTCATTCATAGCTGTTCATTCACAGCTCTCTCCTCACATTGTTCACAGTGAAAGACCTCTAATTTGAGGGTCTTATAACGTCTTAGAGGACCGTTATCAACCTTGTTGCATTGTGTGACTCTAAGCAAGCTAGCTAGCTACTAATAAATACATAGGTGCACGTGACCTCGGGTAGCCGGGGAATCCTCTAACATTATCTAGTTAACTAACGTAATTCCCAAGCGAGCGCAAACACCAAAACCGCCAGAGCTCCACTCATTAGATTTTAATTCAAATTATCTCAACACTACAACGGTCAATTAAATTAAATTAAATTACACGTGGTTGAGAACATCTTAATCTTGTATGCTTGAGGATATTACAATTGCTGCAGCGTTGTGGAGCTCGTCAGCGTGGAGCAGGCGCAGAGAGTGAGGACTCATGGGGTTGAATAACTGGCTGTTCAACAGGCGCTGCAGATGAAGCTAGAAGACTTTGAGCTTCTTCACTAGTTAAACCTCCTACTTCTTGTTGAATTCAGCACCTAGTTCTCTTGCATTTTTGCTTTCTATCTCATTTGCATTGAATATATCCTGTTATTGCTTCTTCATAATAGTGATGCTGACCATCCTGTATTCACAGGCCTTGATAATTTGATCAAAGTCTTCCACAAAGCCTTTGATCTTATTTGCCTGCCAGTGTAATTGCCGGGGATTACTAGGTGTTTGAAGCACCCAGGACATGGTTGAATTGCTAGAGCTGCTGTGTTTTGGGGGGGGGTAGGAGTCTGTAGTTGAATATCCAGCTGCTGGAGGACATAATCAGGTTGAAAGAGCACTATTCCAGCTGCCTTGAAATCATTTTGAATAGTCTGAGGCTTGAAGGCTGCAGCACACACTGCAGGATAAGCATCTAAGAAACTTGCCTTCTGAATGACATTAAATCCAAGCCACATTCACTGCTGAACTAGGTCCCCATATGCTCACTTTAAAGCTGAAAAAACACTCACATCTAGTGACTGCAAAAGATGTGAGGAATGAGGTGACATGCAAAGACATATTATAACATTATTCTTGCAGATTTGATTGAATTCTGGAGTAAGATGACTGCTGTGGCCATTCAGAATAAGAAGAATAGATCTGCCAACTCTGTAAGGATTTGCTGCTGGAATAAACACCTGTTAAAGCCATCTCAGGCCTATTTCATCAGTAGTTCAGTCATTTGGACTAGCATCTAGTCTCCAGCCTTCTGGAAGGCCTTCAAACCACTTTTCCAAGAAGCCCTTGCTTTTGAGAAAAATATAGGAAGGTAGAGCTCATCCAGATGCATTGACTGACTCAATTACAGTCACTCATTCATGATTTCCAGGCTGTAGAAGCTTTGCTCTGCTGTAGCACTCACTACTAGTAATAATCTTAGTAGTAGCACAAACTCCCATAGTAAATTCATTCTCATCAAAGTTGTATATATCTTCTGACAGAATCTCATGCTTAGCAATTGTATCTCTCAAGATCTTAAATCAATCATTTATAATTCACTGATCTTTGCACTTGGCCTGTTCATGATTATAGTGTCTAGAATAGCAGTTTTGAAGCTCTAGACAGTGTGTCACTAGATTTGACACCCAGTTCTTGGCAATGTGAAAAGGGGGGGTGGTGAAGGTGATTGAATTCCATATAATAAGAAGATAATTAGCTGTATCCTCAACCAATGCTGGCTGTGGGGGAAATCCTTGTTTAACCTGGTCCAGCACTCATTCATGTAAATTCATCCATGATTGCCAGCCATTCAGTCAATAAATTAAAGTAGAATAAAAGACATTAAATAAGTGAGCAGCTTCACAAATTGAAGCAATTTCTTGATTTTTAAAAGCTTTTATCATGAGTTCAAGTCTTCCCTCTCTTTCTAGAGAATCTGAAGCATTTTTATTGCGAATTGGTGGCATAATTGCGCGTTGAAGTGGAAGGGCAGTTAAATTAGAAGATATTTTGAATTGGTGTTGCACTCGCTTGGGTGTTGTGCTTGCTTGGGAAATACATTAGCTACTGCGAAAACAGGGGGAGGCTACTTAGTCAGCAAGACACGTCTGGGGAAACTTTGTATATTTTCTCTGCCCCTAGTTACTTATACCTCTCGTGTATGCTACCAAACGATTGTATTTCCAAAGGAAATAAGTTATATAGGTCGCCAATCAATGAGTTGTGTAAATATATTTTGCTCACAGAAAATCCGAAGTCCTGTCATCCTCTGATACGAAAATGTTCCCACTCCTCCAGGAGACATAGAATACATGCATTGAGCAGGCTTATATATATGATATCTATTCGTCACAACAGAGCAATCATTAATCCTGCTCGGTTTCAATCAGAGCTATCGTATCATCATACGCCTTAATAATAGGATCATATAACCTTTTTGAGTCTTGCGGCATTCCAACAATAAGTCCTTCCTGTAAGGAAACAGTACGCGTCGTATGGTCTTCCTCCAGAAAATCAATCCAGATATCTTCACAGAGTCAGTCAAAGGCATGCTATATTAAAAGACAAAACAGGAGCAATTCACACTATCAATACACTGAATCTTCATTAGTTTACAGCATCTGAGTTATATTGCGCATCTTGAAATGTTTCAATCATGTTTCAGGATAGATTGAAATTTGATTTCTTCCTCTGCCCACCATCTGAAAAGACAAGGCGCCGTAATCGGTTGACGCAAGGGATCAAGAATTGATAATATGGAGTAAAATAGACTTCTACGATTCGAAGAAAGTCCTCTTCCCCACTTATCACTTCTTGCTTCGCAGCCGCCAGTTCTTCAGTACTCATATAATTCCATTTCTCAAACCGTTTGACAGTGCTCCCCTTCCCTGGGCCTTCATAGTGAACGCATATCCAGAACAGAACCCAGAAGAACTACTGTTGAGCTCGTGGACCCGATCATGCAGCCGACTGTGGGATGATCCATCGTCGCCGTTTCCAAAGAAGTCGGAAGTCGCATGTTCGTAATGTTCCATCCAGAGCTGCCTGGACCAGACCTCCGAAATTCTATGCTCAGCTTGGATAGAAAGTAGGGCTGATCGCCAATTGTTGGCCGCTCCTCCCCGAGCTCGCGGAGCTAACATCTCCAACAGACCCCTCCTCGATCTTATCAAACCAGCATTTGAGTCCATTGTCCATGACATCTGTGACTGGGCCAAGAAGCTGTGGCTGGGCTATTGGAAGAGATGCATTTCAATTTTCGGAGCAGTTATGTATTACATAGATTGTCAGAGATGAATAAAGTGTTTGAGAATTAAATATACTCGCAGCTCACAACGCCAGAGGCATGGAGATAATAAACACGGTAGTTGAAGAGTAAAAACCACATCGTCGCCGGTTGCACGTCCCAGTCTTGTAGCAGATAAGCCCATTCATATGGGCGGATATCAATGAAATCGTCACGCCTCCTTGCCTCTCAAGGGAAGGCCCTGGGCCAGCTCTGGTGGACAAAGGATCCATTTCACAATATCACGAACTGAAGATTTGTTATAGCAGGACATGCTGAGATCATAGGAACCTCTCAGCGTACATGGCAGTGTGGGGTTCTGGTTAGACGGGTCGCAGGTTGCCTGGACAACACGCACTTTCCCAACCATGAAGGACACGACTGTGGCCTAGATGGATATCAGCGTTTGCATGTCAGAGTATCCCCTCATCTGTCCGAAGTAATGCCTCACTAGCGGCCGTATTGGGTGATAATTAGCTGCGAAACAGGCCAGTTTCAAAGACTGCCTATTTTCCTTGCCAATCAGCCCGTAGTGGAAATGTACACGCTGGAACAAGAGACGCTACTTTGCACGAATTAACTTGGGCAAGGGGAAGCAAGGAGAACACGACGGTGACCATTGGCTACCAAGCCTCAACCTGGCACAGAAAACAATGGGCCAACAAACCTGTTATAAAAAAGGTTACTAAACATGAAACAGGGCAAGCTGAGTCGAGCAAAAAAAAATAGTGCAACTTCACTTGCTCTTGTTCCCCGCGTGAGATGTCAACTCGATTTATCAAGCTATCAATTGTTAGATCCATCCAACCGGACCAACCGTCGTCCATGGGTGGGTGACCAGGGATATTCATTGGTATCAGCATGGCTGATCTTCGCGGAGCTCTGGACGGCCTTTTCAACGGCTAGAAGCGTCATAGAATCAACCTTTTCAGCTGTGGCATCCTTACAGACAACTTCCAAGCCTTCTGTTCTTTGCAAAAGTTCAAAGGAGAATGTGTCAGCCTGGTCGGACCAGTAACTACTGATTGAACAGCTTCGGCATCAGATCGCTGAACTCCTGCGCATTCAAGAAGGGCTTGTCCGTGATTGGCCCCATCGTAAATAGTTGTCGACATACGTCCAGATGCAGATGTTGATGCTGATGATGCTGTTTCGATGCAGTATAAAGCTGATGTTACATGATGAAAGGTTGAGAAATAAGTTAGTGCAAAGCACCTCAGTTGGACTCTCATCGTTTCTCAGCAAAAATACTTGGGGACATCCTCATGTTGTTGCTACTAGTTAAATATGTTCCATCATTCCTACACTTTGCCCCATGCTTTTTTATGCCTTTCCATTGCGCATTTCTACCCTTCACATTTCCTTACTGTTTATGTTCTTAAGCCCAAATTCGTATAACCAATTAACTAGTTACTTCCCGCCTCCCCGTTAACTAGAGCTTTATGGTGCGTACCACGCCCGTTTTACCTCATCAGTCTGCCACCATGTCATATATTTTCTTCCCGTGTCGAAATAACTACCTGGGCAGGAAGATGGACTTCCGCAGGTGGACTAAAGGGTTTCCATGGTTCAATATCCCATGCGAAGTAGACGTATGTAGGCTCATAGAAGTCCATATGTTTGATTGACTCGATCAGAATTGCTTTTAAAGCCAGCTTGGCCCGGATAAACCCGCTTCCGATATTTAGCAGCACAACAAACCCGTAGTAAAATGCGCCGCTGATTGGCCAACTTCAACGCTCAAAACGAACCGACACCGGAATTTGTTTGATACACGGCTTCGAAATCAACATCAACTTCAAACAAAGCCAGCATCGACTGGATTTCTCTGTCCTCGGGCGAAAGAACGAGCTTAACTACCCCCTTCTCCAAGTATTCTCTGGCATTCACGGTCAACTAGGGGCTTGCGGCTTCTACAGAGCAGACACTGGCGGGAAAGAGAAAAGGGGCGACAGTGGACGGTAGTGATTGTACTGTTGGTCGGGACTAGCAGCTAGCCAGCGGTAGTTCGGTAGATCGATTCATTGATTCGATCAAATTTTGTGTGTTGGTTGGGAGATTGCGCATTCCCCGTTGCGGATTTTAACAAAGTCTTCAGACGTCGAGCCTTTGAAACGCTGTTGGTTCCTGAGTTCCTGCCGGAGTGGATCAATCTCCAAAGGGATTTTCCGAAGAGCTATTTGCGGCTGTTGACGGAAGGATTAATATATCGATACTGCGAGGCGCAGGAGGCTGGAATAGGCCTAAACATAAGAGCAAGCAAAGACAAAGCGAAAGGTGGCATAAATGGTGGACCATGAATCTCGCGGCAGCGGAGGCGGAGGCGGTGGCCACGGACCTCGGGGAGGACATAACCAGAGAAAAAGACGGTATAGAGGTGCGTATTTTCTTTTGTTTTCAAAGTTCATATCGTGCCATGTCGTGAACCAGCCAGCAGCATTCCTTTCCACAACGAAGGATTATCTTTACGCGGGACTTTGTTGGCTAATTCGAATTTGAATTGCATTTCTAGATGACGATGACTACGATCGCAGACAGCAGCGGAGGAGGTATGAGGAGCCCCTTGCGGTGACTGTGCGGAAACAATTAGCTACAATTGCGGAGTCGGTAAGGAATCTAATTTCCTATGCCGCCGATGGTGGTTTGAGATGGATGAATGGCTGGAGACTAATTTGGTTATGGTAGGCTGTAAGAAAGGCCGAGGACGACGTGGCCCAGATCGCGAAGACGGTGTCAGAGCACTATGAGGATGAGGATCCGGAGGTTAAGAATACGTTTGTGACGCTTGTTTTGCAGCTGTACGTGGTGTATTTGTGATATATATACACCCCTTTTGCCCATTAAAGCGCACAGAGTATACTAACCCAAGAAAACGATACTACAGAATTGGCGAGCAACCGCTCAAGATCCCCTTTGTTGCCGCCACGGTGCTTACCGCAAACACCATGAAGCCGGAACTGGCAGCGGAGGTGTTGAAAAAGGTCGGAGAGATTGCACAGTCACACATCAAGGCTGGTAATTGGCGTGATGTCAAGCTTGTGTTGCGGTTTCTGGCCTGCTTGCAGGGTTTGTTTGAAGGCGAAGGCATCTTCCCGCTGCTGGAAGAGTTGTTTTCGCGCGCTGTTGATTTGCAAACAGCTTCTTCGGAAGATGTAGGTGCATGGCTGTTGTTTCTCGTTATGGGGATGATGGGGTCTCCCGCCTCTGTGGTTGAATATCGATGCTGATTTGGCTCATTTTATAGTCCCTGGGATTGGAACTTGTGAAGATCATTCTTTTCACTATTCCTTATATCATGTCATCTTCTGCTTCTGGCTTCGAGGCACAAGCTTCTGCCCTCCTGGAGAAAACGGATATCATCGCCTCGACACCGCATACGCTAGAAGAATTGGTTGATCCCTTCCCGTCTAACGAAGGAAATGAGGAGAACAGAATGAGCGTCATCGGCCTCTTGCAAAAGCAGCTCCAAGATGAAGCAAAGCAAGGCTGGGAGCTTTTTTGTATACCACGACTGTGGACTGGGTTGATTCCCGCCAACAAACTCGGAGAAAGCGAAAATGAAGAAAATACAGAGGAAATGAAAGGAGAAGAACAAAAAGAAGAAACTCAAGACCCTTTCAAAACCGCAACTAAGCACATATTTCCCACCATCGCCGTTCCCAACCCAGTCCCCAACGGGCCCAAACCCATCTTCCCAGATGTCTATTTCTCCGTCTACCTAGACCAAGACCTGGAAACTGTCCCACCCATCACAGACGTTGCGGCCTCTTTGCTCCGTGACGCTCTGGCCGACACAATCGATATGCTAGACTTCAACCGCATCGCAACGGCCAAATTCCTCATTGACGTCGATTGCTACTTCGCACCCAGCACCTTCATCAAGCGCGCGACGCCCTTCGACAAGATCCGCGACGCCGTCAATGCGGGAGTCGGCGATCGCTCGACCTGGAAGCCCGAAGATGTTGCCGTCGACGCGGTATTTTCGCTGCTTTTCCAACTACCCTCAGCTGAGCATAAGCTTGTCTACTACCATTCTGTCCTCACGGAAGCATGCAAGATTGCGCCTGCTGCTATTGCTCCGAGTTTGGGGAGGGCGATTCGTTTCTTGTACAGGAATGTTGAGCGGATGGATTTAGCGCTTTCGTATAGGTTTTTGGATTGGTTTGCGCATCATTTGAGTAATTTTGGGTTTACGTGGAAGTGGACTGAATGGTAAGTGGCATGTTTCCTTCTTGGGGGCATTTATAAAGGGGGGATTCATTCTGAGAATCCATTTTGTTGTATTCTTCTATTACAGCATGCTGACATTTACCTTAAAGGGTTGATGATGTCGAATTGCCAGCAATCCACCCCAAGAAATCGTTTATCTGTGGTGCCTTGGATAAGGAGATCCGACTTAGCTTTGCGCAGCGTATCAAGGGAACCCTGCCAGAGCCTTACCAGGCCTTAATCTCCGAGAACAAAGAGAAGGACACGCCTGATTTCAAATACTCCTTCGAAAGTAAGTGTTCACTCTGCATTTTGTCTTACCACACTCCCCCTCACTAACAACACACACAGCAACCCCCTACGCCACCGAAGCGCAAGAAATCATGCAACTTATCCGCAAAAAAGCCACAGACGCGGACCTCCAACCTCACATTCAAGCCATAGAACAGCAAGCAGCAGCATCAGGCGCTACAGATCCCCTAATCCCTTCAACAGACGCCTTCGTAACCTCCATCTGCTACGTAGGCTCCAAATCCCTCTCCCACGTCCTCTCCTGCATCGAGCGGAGTAAAGAACGCCTGCTATCCATAGGCCCCCAATCGCCGGCCGCCCGCCGGCAAATCATCACCTCCGTCCTCGAGTACTGGGCCGACCAGCCCGGCATAGGCGTGAACATCATTGACAAGTTGCTTAACTACGCCATCCTCACGCCGCTGTCTGTCATAGAGTGGGCGCTCGTGGATCACATTGATGGCGGAGCGGCGCTGGCTAAGGCTCATGTGTATGAGATGGTTGCCGCGACGATGGGGAAGGTTACGAATCGGATAAGACAGATTGTGGCTGCGAGGGTGCAACTGGGTCTTGTTGAGCCGCAGCTGTCTGTTATTGATGAGACGTTGAGGAGGGAGAGAGGGGACGTTGGGGTTATGTTTGATGTTATTGAGGGAGCGCTTGTGGGTGTTGTTGGTGGTGCTGGGGCTGGTGATGGGATGCAAGGGAATGGGGCAATGGAAGGGGAGGGTGGGATTATTTCGGAGTGGGGGAGGAGGTGGCTGAGGGTTTTTAGACGGATGAAGGCGGTTGAGGAGGCTTTTTTTACGGAGGCGATGACAAGGGCGGCGCCTGTTGGGACGATGCCACCCGTGCAACAACAGCAGGCTGAAGAGGTCTCGGCACCGGCTGAAGCTGAGGCTGCTGCTGTGGAAAATAACACTGAGATGGCTGATGTCGAGTGAGTGAGGGGGCATAAACCTATATTCTGAACTTGATGTTGTAAGAGGTTGGTATGAGCAAAAATTCAATTTTTGTTATCTGATAATTTTCTTTCCTAACTATTTGTACTCTATCGTTTTTTCTCTTACATTCTTTGGATTAATATTGATTGGCAATTTCTTTTGAAACTAGTGTTACTTTTGAAAATTTCTTTCCACTTGACTATATTTTAAAATGCGTGAAAAGCACCTTTAATTCATGAAGCTGCAGACTCGACCTAGGGATTCATGCCTTATCTCCCGGACCCTTCGCTTCACCCCGTTTCCCCCTTGCTATATAGCTTTCAAGTCGTTTTCTTTCAAAGCAAACTATGCCAAAAAACCAGGAACCTCTCCGCCTAACAGAGATGTAACTTCAAAGAATATCCCGAGCAAAGATCAATACGGTTCTACCTCATCGAACAGTGAGAGGAAAGGGAATATTATCCAATTCAAAATAAAAAGATCACTTCAACTCTGATGGAAAGGATTACTTCTCTTTCATGCTTCTTAATTGCTGCCATCAATATTAACCTATATAAGTACACAATATATAGTCTGTCTTCTGATCGATGAAAGGTATTAAAACATAAAGGAATACTGAAGAAACAAGAGGAAAGAGGGTCAATCTCAGTAGGGATGTAAAAAAGGAGACAAAAGCTATGAAAATGACAAGAAAGAAAGAGCAGAAGAACAGAAAGGTAATAGACATCATCTTTCACAAGTCATCTATTGACCACACCCATCATCACATCTATTGTTGACAACAAGATTAATATTATTAGTATAAAGTAATTCCCCCTTCAGCATTTAACATCTCACTCTCCACTCTCTTCTATACGCTCAATCTCATATCCATACCACTCCAACCACAACCACAACCTCAACACCAATCATCAAACAGAACAAATACCTAGAAAAGAAACACCGAAACTCCTCTAAATCAAAGTCTGCGGTGAGTGGGTAAAAAGGGGAAAAGGGGGGAAAAGGGGGGAAAGGGGAAGGGGGAAGAGGTGAAATAAAAGAAGAGGGCCAGCCTCGGGAAGAGTCAAGAAAGAAGTATATAAAAAGTGGGAAGCTGGTGGGGATCCGTGTGCGTTTGACTGTCCGGGAGCCGTAGATTGTTGGTATAGGGAAGCAGGGGCGGCACAGGGGCGAAGGAGAGAGGTTTTCAAAGCCACTGGGGCCAAAATCGAAGACCACTTCTTCCATGGTTGTTTTTGATTCTCCCTATTTTTGGCTCGAATGGGAATTTCCATTGGGATTCGGAATGATGTGAAATGCAAAATGAGAACGAACGGAAATACGGCCAAATCCTTGACTCAAATCCCACCCCCGAAATTACTAAAGCAAGAAGAGAAATATACCGTCCCAGTCCCATCCATCCAATATTAAATATCTCCCCTTCAACGTAAACACCATCATCATCACGAAAACACAGTTCAGGAGGATATTGTCAAAACGGAAAACAAGAGAGAAAAACCGCCCTACATTGTCTTCTTACTCTCCTTAACGTCACCCCCATCATACATCCTATCATCCTTACCCTCCACAACCTTAACAACCATCTCCATCTCCCTCGCCTGCCTCTCCCACTCCTCCTTCGCCATCTTCGTCTCCTTATGGAAAAGCTCTTTATTTGGCTTCCGATAACTGCCCCCCAACCGGTCCCACAATGTCGTAAACTGCCCGTAGTTGTAATTGAAATACAAATGGTGCATGGTATGGCATGCCGCACCGTTGATTAGTGGGGAGTTGGCGACGTACTCGCCGTCGTGGATGAGGATGGTCCAAATGTTGATGGTGATAAAGAGGAAGACAGAGGCGAATTTCTGCAAGGGGAAGATGAAAGGGAAGATGTGGTAGGGGAGGCCTTGGGCGTAGCCATCCAGCGGGTGGAAGGCGTGCGAGGCGTATGGGGTTGGCATGATCCATTTGTGGTGTGGTTTGTGGAGGCGTTTGTAGATTAAGGGGTGGTGGAGGCCACGGTGGATCCAGTAGATGAAGAAGTCGGTGAAGAGGATGAAGAAGGGGAATTGGAGGTAGTTGTAAAGGGCGAAGGGGGCATCAGAAAGATGGTCGTATAGTTTTGCATAGCCACGGACTTCGAGAAGGAAGATGGGGGCGGTGAAGATGGCCATTAAGGGGAGGGAAATGGATGTTTGTTTTATTTCCATTCGGATTTGGTTTTTGAGGTATTTGGGGTGGTTGAAGGTTGATTTGTCGAAGACGAAGACGTAGGAGAGGGTGGCGAAGATGAAGTAGATGATTAGGCCGAAGATCCTATTTTTTATAAATGTGTGAGTAAAAAAAGGTTAAGGCCAATGGTTTGTTTTGATGGGATGATGGTGATGTATATACATACCAAGTGATGAGATACAGAGTCAATCCCTGCCTGAATATATTATCTCTATGCAGCGAGGACATGTATGCGTATTTGGAGGGTTGCAGGCTGAAATACGAGGATGAGGGCTGGTATACATATTCTCCGGCACTGGCGAAGATAGAGTCCGTTGCATTGACGCCATTGCTGATGGTTGGGGATAGGGGCGCACCATCAGCAGCGCCGGCAGCACCCTTTGCAGGCGCAAAAGTAGCGTAAAGGTAGTCAAAGACGAGTGTATCGAAAATCTCCAGCACCACATCCATGGCTGGCAAGAGGGATTTTCGATTCTCCCGTATAATTCTGCCTTTTTCTTTTTCTTTTCTTTTTTTCTTTTTTTTTTTTTTTTTTTTTTTTTTTTTTTTTTTAATATATAGTCGTTTGTTGAGGGAAAGAAGCTGGCCTCAATGAGGCTATATTCAATTGGGTTTGCCAACCCGCTGTCAAGCCGTTGTCAATCCAGTTGGATTGGGCAGTTGAAGAGTTGTATGTATCTGTTGGTGACAAAGAGCGTCAAAACCCAAAAAAAAAAAGAAGAAGAAAAAAAAAGAAAAAAAAAAAGAAGAGGAAGAGGAAGGTTTGAGAGGATTTGATGTAACAGCAACTCAAGCAGATAGTACGAGCGATTGGGCGGAGGATGAGCAGCAATTGGATCTATACGAGGAAACAGGAGAAGCCAGGAGAGGTAGAAACTGTGCAGGCGGATGGTGGTGATGGAAGGACGAAGATGCCCAAGATTGCTGTCGGGATGTTGGATGCTGGACGCGGATGTGTTATGTGGTGGATGGAAAGAAGATGTGGATGTTGAATGGAATGGGCGAAACGCGCTTGGCCCTTTGTATTGGCCGGAGGCAAGTCAGGTGAGTCGGAGTCGCCTGGAGCCGGGATGGATGTACTAGGTAAGCAACATTATCTTATCAATCTCATCTGCTAACTAACCATGCGGCTACCAGTGCCGCACCAAAAGTTTGAGTCATTTTGGCAAGTGGAGGAGCATGCTGAGGGTAAGCTCTTGAGGAAACTAGGACAATCTTAAGTTACCGTGACTTTGTGTTAGACTTTTTGGACACAGCACGCACTGTGGCACGATTCGGTTCCCCAGGGTGGACCTGGTGACAAGTCTGCTTACCCAGAGTACCCAGGCTGCATTGTGCAACAAAAAGCAGCCCACACGGACGGAGATGCGATCCCGGGGGGAAGGGGATATGCTACTAAGCAGCCAGATATTTACTCTCGAATTCGACAGACGAAGATTTTGCAGAGAGACAGTGGAGAGAGGAGATCTGATCCGGAAATAATAGAGTTCAGATTCTAAAAGGTGGTGTCAACAGAGGACCAGACATAAGCCACGCCACGCCACCTCCCCCACCCCCCGCTCTCAGCGTTCTCTAAATCAGCGGATATTGTAGGGTCTACGGAGTAACGGAGTAATTATGTATAATATCGTGTGTCAGCGGCGATCAACCCCCTTTTCCCCGTGGTTATCAGGGCCAGCAAAGGGAGAGAAAGGAACAAAACTCGATAAAAACGGCTCGGCCGTGTCCAGGTCCCAACGACTTGGGAGGTACAGGGGGGTGTGGCTGGTGGTGGCTGGTTTGGCAGGCTTCAGCCACCGCCGCAGAACAGAAACAGGCTCACTACAACCAAAGCGGTTAGTATCAGGAAGAGCGGCGGAAGATGCGGGCGGCGAATTCTTCTTTTAATGCGGTCTATCCAGACGGTGAAATACGCATGTGGTGCATGTGGTGCAAGGTGTGGCAGGTATTTGAGGTGTTGTGTGTTATCAACCAAAAGGACGTCGGGTGGATCTTTGGGTGGTAGGTAGGGGATATAAATACGTCTCTGCAAATTTTAATCAAAACACAAGAGTATGAAATCGGGAACCCTTGTCGCTGTAGGGTAGGATTGATCTGAAAAAAATGTGCCATGCATTTACGGAAAACAATCTTGTTGTATCCGTTCAAAAAAAAAATATAAACCGTGATACGCTCTTCTAAAAAAAAAAAAAAAAAAAAAATACCTTTGTTCATCGTTCATGCCAGAGTCATCGGGTAGTTGCGTACATCCCAATCTCTATTTAGTCTCAATGTACGACCCCTCAAACCAACAGCGCGAGAAGTGAATCTTTCCCACTTCTCCATACCCCGTACTGATTGAGTTGAGTTGAGTTGAGCATTCAGCGTAGAGGTATTGTATGTACATAAATACCCTTCTTATATGGATCGCGGAAAAGAAGAAGATGGTAGCTTAGTTATCTAGACAGCTACCGACCGCAAAATAAAAAGTAAAAAGTCAAAGTCAAGTGAGTACCTAACATCCAACCTTGGGTCTGGGAATATTTATTCTCCTTTTTCCCCTTTCTCCTTTTCTCCCTCACCAAAAGTGAAGTTAAACCGGTCAGTAAGTTTTCGTAAGTGCTATTAGCAGTTTGTAGGTGTAGTAGTTTAGTCTCGGCTAATACAGAGTATAATGCTATCTAACTTTTCTTTCCGTGTCCCCACCCGCCCAAAGAAACACAGAAGCAACAGCACAGTAGCCTGCAGAAAATAATAACCGCCTCTTATAGCCTCCTACCTTGGGCCAGAGTCTGAGCCTTCCTCTCCCAGATCCCCCAATCCTCATTCATTTCAATTCCAGGTTCAAACTCCACAACTAGGTACGGAGGACTACCGTTGCTGTTAATGTTGTTTGTGATCGGGTGCCACTGAGGGAGTATCTTATTCCCCTTGTGGTGGTAGTCAGCTCATCTTCTTATCTTTCTCCTTCTTCTTCCACTTCCTCTTCCTGTTTTCTTCCCCCTCTCATCTTAATCACGTCCACCTCCACTAACCACCGACATCATCATTTCAACAGCTGTTGCCAATTACCGTATTTGCACCCCCTCTTCCCCTGGTTTTATTTTGTTTTTTTTTTTTTTTTGTTTTTTTGATTTATTTATTTATTTTATTTTATTTTATTTTTTTTTTTTTTGTGGTGGTTGTTCTCATCATTCACTCTCCTCAGTCTGCTGCTGCCGGACTTCGCTTCTGGCGGCAATTTTTCAGCCTCATCTCCCGTTTAGGTAAGCTTCCCCCTCTCCACGGCGAGCCCCGAACAACGCTTCTGCATTTCCAACCTCATCCAGAACAAAACAGCATCAACAACCACCACAACTACCGCAACTACCATCAGCTATTCAACATATCCCCATCTAACTCCCTCTCCCTAATCTACTTCCTACCGTCCCGTCTCCCTCCACGCTTCTCCACTACACCAAACAACTAACCCGTTCAACCCAGCCCACCAACTACCACAGCTCACTTCCTGTCTTCCTTTCAGACAGCGCAACACAAACAATCAACATAACTTCTTACCTTAGGCCAGCCTCGCCCTCAAGGCTTGTGCCAACATGTATAACCCACACCGTGGCATGGTTGCTGCTCCAAACTCACGATTGACAGAGCTGCTCGACCAGCTGCGCCAGGAGTATGAGAACCAGTCGCGGAATACCGGCGAGTTTGAACATCAACGTGCGTTTTTTCACCCTCTTTCTTTCTTTCTTTCTTTCTTCCTTCCTTTTTTTCTTATAATACCCTCCCAACCCTTATCTCGGAAACAGGTGTAGCCATCTCTCTGTCATATCTGCGATTACAATAGACACAGCGTGCATATGAACGCAGGGTTTTGCGCCCGATATGTTGTCATCAAATACCCCCTTTTTGCACACTGTTAACCTTTCTCTGACAAACTTTTGCATTTGCATTCACAGTCACTGGCCAACTCCAGGAGATGGAGATGATCAGACAGAAAGTGTACCAGCTGGAGCAGGCGCAGATAAAAATGAAGCAAGAGTACGTCTTCTTCGGCTCTTATTTATAATCCTCATAAATGGTCTCGGGTGGGGTTGTTTACTAACTGTCTCTGCACTTGCTTTCAAGATACGAGGCTGAAATCCGCACTCTTCGAATGGAACTCGAATCTCGTGGCGTGCATCTCCCCCAGTCTCACATTGGTGGTCCCCCAACACATGCTGGGCCTTCTCAAGCTCCTCCTCCCGCGCTTGGACATGGCCCTGCCAATCTGTTTGGCGGCATCATGACCAACCCAGGAGGTGGAGCTCCAGCCCTTGCGCCCCCTCCTCCTCCACAGGACCAGCAACAACCTCCCCAGCACGCTCTTCAGCAACCTGGTTCTGGAGCCCAAGGCCCTCCTCAACCACAGCAAGGTGCCTTTGGAGGCTATCAGCCTGCCTCTGCAGTTAACGGTATGTCCCAACGTCGCAAATGACAAGTATAGGAAAAGCAAAATTCTGATCATCAAAACTGTTATAGGTTATGGACCTCCACCTCCCGCTCCAACCTCGTCCCCAGGCCCCGGAAAAGGCAGAGCCAGTCGCGCACCTCCCGGTCCAGCCACCCCTCAACAGAACCATCAAGTCGCCTATCCCGACACTCGTGCATCCCCTCAGATGCCCCGCCCCACTCCTCCCGGCCAGCAACTGAGCTATCGCGTCGGAAACACACTCGCAGACCTGGATCCTGACAAGTTGCCCCCCAGCCAAAAGCGCGAAGGTTCTGATTGGTACGCCGTTTTCAACCCGGAGGTTCCTCGTTTACTGGATGTCGACCTTGTCCACCATCTCGTTCATGACAGTGTAGTTTGTTGTGTTAGGTTCAGCAATGATGGGAAATTTGTTGCTACGGGCTGCAATCGCTCTGCGCAGATCTTTGACGTTCAGAGTGGACAGCTTGTCACCTCTTTGCAAGATGATTCTGTTCTTGATAAGGAAGGGGATCTTTATATCCGAAGCGTCTGCTTTAGTCCGGATGGGAGATACCTTGCTACTGGTGCCGAAGATAAACAGATTAGAGTAAGGACATCCCTTGTTCTTTTTCTTTCTCCTATTTATATATTTTTCCATTCCACCAACTAACCTCCACCTACAGGTCTGGGATATCCAAAAACGAACCATAAAACACATCTTCTCCGGCCACGAGCAAGACATCTACTCTCTCGACTTCGCCCGTAACGGCCGCTACATTGCCTCCGGCTCCGGCGACAAAACCGTCCGCCTCTGGGACATCGTCGACGGCAAGCAGGAGCTAATCCTCAGCATCGAAGATGGCGTTACTACCGTCGCCATCTCTCCCGATGGCCGCTTCGTCGCTGCCGGTTCCCTCGATAAGAGTGTTCGTGTCTGGGATACGACGACTGGATATCTTATTGAGCGTCTTGAGAATCCGGATGGGCATATGGATAGTGTGTATTCTGTGGCGTTTGCGCCGAATGGGAGGGATCTTGTGTCGGGCAGTTTGGATAAGACTATTAAATTGTGGGAGTTGACGCCGCCCAGAGGGATGGTCCCTGGTTCTGGTCCTAAGGGTGGCAAGTGTGTTAGGACTTTTGAGGGACATAAGGTGGGTTTCCCCTCTCTTTGTGTGACTTCGAGTTGATGAAGGCGGTAACTGACATATCTATGTTTCTTTGCAGGATTTTGTTCTTAGTGTCTGCTTGACACCCGATGGACGCTGGGTTATGAGTGGATCTAAGGATCGTGGCGTACAGTTCTGGGATCCAGCGACTGGGAATGCGCAGATGATGCTTCAGGGTCATAAGAATTCAGGTTCGTTATTCGTTTTTATTCTTTGTTTCTGCGGCCACCCTCTTTTTGTCTCTCAAGCTAACCATATCCTTCGTTAGTTATCTCCGTCGCACCCAGCCCAGTCGGCAACCTGTTTGCGACTGGAAGCGGAGACATGCGTGCTAGAATCTGGAGGTTAGTTTTAACCCTCAACGTTTGATATCATATATTTGCGTTTCTGTTCATCCTCGATATCACCACCATCATCATATAATTTGCGCTCCCTTGCCCCTTATACCATAATTTGTCTTTGTATCCACTCTTATTTATTCTCCCTTTATGTCCCAGTATACTAACGTCTACAAAACCTAACCCTCGATATGAAATTTACAGCTATTCCAATTGGGATCCCAGAAGGTCATAGGTTGTGTTTATTTCACAAACGGACGCAGGCACGCTCACGCATATGGCAGAACTTGCAAAACATGCAGTTGGGCATATATTTAAATATGCGCAACATGTAACTTTGCCAGAGGAGGAAAAGAAAGGAGGAAGCGGGCTGAGGGAAAGGGGAAAGGCGTTCTGTGACTACTACTTTTACCGGCTCTTGCGATTGGTCTTGCAATTGATACTGATATGGAAACGGATGCCTGCTTTCTTCAAAATCGTTGCTATCGTCTTCCTCTTCTCCCTTTTTATTTCCGCCCTTTTCATATTCTTTCATCTTTCTGGAGAATTGTATCATGCTCGTTGGGGGGGGGGGGGGGGGGGGGGGAGGGAAATGATTGAAAAAATTGTAAAATTGAAAAAAAAAAAAAAGGAAAAATGGATTGGTTTTATGAGGTTTGATTTTGGTTATTTTCTCAATTTTTCTCTCCTCTTCTTTGAACACCTCCACGTTTTGTTCTTCATGGTTCATGTATGGATGTTTCCATCCTATCAAAGTTTGTTGTTTACCTCCTCTTTTCATATGATTTTTTGATGATTTTTCCTTTCCTGTTTTATTTGGTGTTTCTTCTTTGCTTCTTGCCATTTTTCGAACTCCTGAATGACGGGAGGTTTTTATGGAGATTGGATGCAATGAGATGTTGGGGAAATTGTGAATAAATGCTCTTTTTTTTGTTCTTTTCAAAAGAGAGGGCTTTGTCAGAGAGGGAGTGCTCCATGCCGTGTCAAACAAAGTCTAGTTGAAATAAAGATTTCGTTGATCCTCTCTATTCTTGTCGTCCTTTTTTTAATTTTTACGCCATGTCATGGTTTTAGAGTTGTAGATTGCTATGGAAGTGTTTTTTTAATGTCTTTATATTATTCTGATAATTACTTTTCAGACAGCAGCATAGTGCGACACAGGGCCACTCCAGCGTGTAGTTAAAGCGAAAGCTCTCTCTGAGACTATAACCAACTACTTCGTGGCCTGCTACATCCCGCTTTTTCTTTTTTTCTTTTCTTTTCTTTTCTTTTCTTTTCTCCTTTTCTTTTTCTTTTTTTCTTTTGCTTTTCTTCTAGATCCCTTTCTCTTTCCACTTCGTTCTCGCCCTCTCCGGTTAAGGACGTGTGGCATGGCAACCAGTACACGCTAAAACCGCGGGTTTTTTGAGAGTGAAAAAAGGGCGGAAGCTTTAACCGTGCAATTTTGCCGGAAAACGGGGGGAATTCCTAGCAGAGGATAAGCAGCCACACGGTGGGGAGGGGGAGGGGTTGGGGTTCTGGCATTCTCGAAAATTGGCTCTCGTTTCAAGTTAACGTATAAATTCCCTTTGGGGGGATTCTACATCAACGCGGCGAGGCTATTATTTGAAACGGAAGAAACAGGGACAGGGTAGGTATGGATGATAGTAGGTGGGGATATCCTGTTCAAACGCAAGTGGATGGCACAAAAACGAGATAGCAACCAAAGTCCAAGTACCAAGACTAGAACTACCCCGCCTGCCGCCTTGCACCAGCCCCCTGTGAAATGCACATTAGAAGCAGAGGGGAGGTTGGGAGGGGGACCCGGGTGTGGATGGGATTCGTTTAACAGGTCGCCAACGGGATACATACCGCCGCAAGAAAAACTCAGAGAAGCAAGCAGCATGGGTTTGTGTGTGGTGCATCCAAACTATTTCAGCAAGGGCCGCGGGTCGGTAGGATAGGATAGGATTGGATGGATAAGTTAGGCTTATGTCGGCATTAGGATGTGTGTGTACACGTGTGGATGGATTTATTCTTTACAGGGAGCCCCGCGGGTGCAGGGGTCGGGGGAGAAATCGACAGATGCTGTATTGCGGTTAGGGCAACCTTGGGCCGTCTTTTTAAAAGGTATTTCAGGATGTGCGATGGTTGCATGAATACATAACCAATTGGAGGGATGGAGGTTTCAAGTGTTTGCCTCGATTAAAGGCCAACAACCCCTTGCTCTGTTGGTAGGCTGGGGCAGCTTGGAATATCAACTAATGATGGTTGTTGCTCCGTCCGCTCAGTGCAAAAGAGAGTTCGGCATTCATCCCTTTCTTTCTTTACCTTTACTACTCTCTACTTTTTATTTTTATTTTATTTTTGGCTGTTGGAGAGAACAGAACATGGTTGTAACCAACTCCCTCTCTTCTGACGTATATTTGAAATCCCGGTACGGGGAAAGGTCTTGGTGAGTGTGGGGGAATCGCGAAGCACGATTCCCAAGGGATGGAAGATCGAGAGAGGACAATGCTTGATGGACCCGTTCTGCTTCTTCCATGCATTAGGTTGACGTTGCCTTCAGCTGCTAAAAATCTAAGATATCATTTCCGTATTCCGTAGAGCAGAGCCCCTCAATGGATGATCATTAATATACAAATCTCAAGGGAGAAATTTGTTTTGTGCTCAGTCACTTTCCTGCTTAAATTGTAGAATTGTCACAATTGAAATAATCATATGCAGAAACGCAGAATTTCTGAGATGTTAAATATTGAGAGAGAAGATGAACATCTATTAGAAAGCAAAGACTGAAAATTATCAAACATATAGAACATTTCTCTATGATGATTCAGCCTGTGTGTGTACATGCATGCATGTATATCTTTGTGGGAAATCAAATTGACCGATGAATGGAATCACAGTTCAACATCTCACCCATTCAGGGTCCATGAAGAATGACTTGACCTCAAGCTCACTCAATGATTATCAAGCCGAAAAAAAAAAAATGGTCTGCTTGTTGCTTTTCTTCATGGCTCCATTGTAGACAGAGCATAAGCTGGTGATCAAAGAGTTTTTTGTATGAAGCTTAACCAAAGCCAGAGCAATTCCAGAACTTGAGGAGCGGGTGCAATTTGTAGTTGTAGAGGTGTCGCAGATACATATATATGCAGAGCATGTACAGCAATTTCCCTTTACCTGTGGTGAACATATGGATGGACGCAAAGGCGCTTGTTTTCCCCAAGGGATAGCATCTTCAGATTTTCAGGTGAAAATTGCTTTTTAGCATTCCGTACATTTCCTGTCTTCGATTCATGTTTCCATACTCTTTTCGATGAAGTGTCTGCCGGGTTTAATTCCTGAAGAGAAAAATGCCGTGCTTTGATTTCTCGTTGCCGATCCTCGATTGCTCCCAGATGCCTTATCTATCCATCAGAAAACGGGACGATTAGGGGAATCAGAAAGAATTGAGGTTCTGCATGGTTCGGGAAGAGGGTGTAGGAGTGTCACTCGCAGAATACATGTAGAAATATACCACACCAAACGCCCTTTATCCTCTCACCGAAAGACAGACCAGGCCTTTCTTTCCCAGGCAACTAGCGGACATTGAAATTGAATTTGTGAAGATGGCTATTTAACCACCCATAAAATATGTTAAGATAACAAGATCACGGTAAAGCATAAACTCGGCGATACTTGCCCATCAGCTGCGGCAAAATTACGTTTTTTTTTTTAATAGTTCAACATAAAACTGCTGGTATTTAGCAACGCAATAGTCTCGTCAGCGAATGGTTTGTATATATTCCTTGTGGGATAGCGGGAATGTGAATAGCTCGGATTGAAAATGGTTTGCAACGTTGGTGAAGGTTGTGATATACTCGTAGTATATATATATATATAAAAAAAAAAAAAAAAAAAATACTCTATATTAGAATGATTGTGCTCCGGAGATAAAAATTTAGCCCTGTTCATTCATCAACACTATCCGTCCAATGCAATTATTTTCCAGACCTACACCTCACCCATCCGATATTTTGGAAATTCCCGTACATACATATATGTGCATTTGCCATTGATGGCCAAGTAAGTGGTGGTGGGCGCAACGCATCTGCTGGCTTCTTACTCACTATTCCCCCAGTTATTGAACAGCTTCACTGTCCAGCCTCTAATTTCCACCTGTCTAGTTTCTAGGATCTAGAGCAATAGCCCGCTAGCTCTTTTGAGGAAGTCCTTTCATGTGCTCCACGTCCAGCGAATGGTTGACCTGTAAGGCGACTGGGGCTACATTACTCCGTTGGCAAACACATCAACGTGAGGGAAGACCAAAGGTTGGGCACCTGCTCTTCGCCCTTCGCACGACAAGGGACGCGGATGTAGTACTGCATCCTGAATCAGTTGATTTATCGGATGGAGGAATCTCGATCGACGATCGATATTCTCGCAGCAGATGGCCCCATTTTTGATTGGAGTTCTGCAGACTGATCCCGCATGGGAAGGAGAGGTCACTTCCTATGTGTAAGAATGGTCTTCTTCGATCATTATTCCCAGGATCAAAGCATACTTGGTAAGCATAGGGACATAATTAGCCACCCGCAGCCATTGCGGTTGTCGATTTAGGAGTGGCGAGACGCGTGGTAAAAGTTCACCAGGTCAGAGCAGTATGATGGGGCTGGGAGTCCTGGGATTTATTGGATGCGGATATGCTCTCTCCTGTCAGCGTATTATTGCTTTTTATTGGAATCCCTTTCTTTTTCTTTTTTCCTTGATCGGAGATCAATGATCTCAGTGATCTGGCGGGTATTTGGTGCAAATAAACCCTGATCCTGGTGATTTACTCGCGTCCTATTGAATACGGATCAAGTATCTGGGGAGACGAACTCTCACCGTTTGAGCTCCAAGGATTCGTAGGCAATCAAAATCCCAACTAAACTCACGAATATAACTCTTGTCCTCCCTGGAATTTGGCGGCGACTGCGGTTGGAGAGCTCTAGCGTAGGTGGTTCTAAGGGAATGTTCATGAAACGGCGGGGAGGGGGACGTACTGAGACCGCTTCCGTTGGACCCCATATTTTTTTCTTCTTTTCCCCAGACTTGAATAGCCAGGCCATTTTCCTTTTTTGCTTCTTCCGTCGAGCTAGTTGTTGCTGGTGCCAATAATGATAGCTCCGTTAGGCGGCAAATTTATAAGCGTCTTTCAAATATGAGCATTTGGGGCCCCCGCCCGACGATTCCGGAGCCCAAGAAGCCGGACAACGTGCTTGTTTCTGACTGCAGATTATCAATAACCTTGATTTTTGCCCCTTGTATGAATAGAACAAGCCGACCACTAATAATCAAATAAAGCCAGATTCCTGGCTGCTAATAATTTAACAGTGGATACTTCACACTTCTCACTTTGTTGACACGCAGCACCACATTTGATGATTATTCGACATGAAAAAGAATACTTAGATACGCCGCACAGGCAGATAGAACCATGTTGGGTCGTTCCTTGGGTCTTCCCCTTGTGTCCTCCAAGGGTGCTGTAATAAATAAGTTCGTAATAGGCGGTAATTTTTACTCCTCTCGCTCAACTCTGTCGTGTGGCGTGCGCCACTGCATCGAAAAGAGCAGAAAAAGAAAGGTAGCTAGCCCTAAAAGAAGCAAAACACAAAAATGAGAAAAAGAAAGCAGATGAGATTCAGATGAAGATCCCCCGAAAATTCCAGACATACGGGTTCGCACCTGTCCTTGTTCCCCCGCTTCGATGAAGATTATTACGAAAATTCTGTCATATCCAGTCTTCCAAAAGTTGACCAAGCTGATTTCGTAAAAGCGTAATAAGCTCCAACAGTCCAGGCCTGGCAGATTCTAAGAGCGAATCCATGGAGATCCAGCAATGGAAAGGTAAAACAAAGATGAGGGGGGAGGAAAAGAAAGAAAAAAGAAAAAAGAAAAAAGGAAAAAGAAGAAACCAGCGGCCCAGCCAGTTGGTCACTTGTGTGCCTTGTGTGCATGCACATGCCTGCATGCATTGATTTGATCAGCTTGCCACCGAACCACAGGTTGATGTTATTTTTCCCTTTCTCCTTCTTTTTTCCTGCTTTTCTTTTTGCAAGGTTTCCTTGGAAGGGGAGCGTGTGGTGAGCCGCTTTACCATTTTTCACCTTTATCGTTGAAGGCTTTCTCTCCCGAACCAATAATCCAAGCGGAGAGGATGGAGAATCGCCTCGCACCACCACTAGCTTTGGAGATCAGTCACGCGGGTCTGCGAATAGTGTGGGAAACGACCCACCGGTGTTGAGATATGTCCTTTTTTTAAAAAAAAAAATAAAAAATAAAAATAAAAAATTAAGGGGAGATGAAAGTTACATGATGGGTGAGAGCTTTCTGTTGATAGTTGTTGACGCCAATAGAGAGGCCCAGTGAGAATCAATGACGCATACATCCTGTAACGTCGTAAGGAACCTCGGAATTAGACAGTCAAGAGTTATCGACACCATTATAACGATTCATCAAAGTTACGAATGATGATGATGGTGGTGGTAGTGGGTGGGGAATGCGATGTCAAATAGGGCTTCCTCCGATGGCACTATTAATATAGCCGTGCCTTCTGTGAGGGCCCGGAAAGTTTAGGAGTGGATATCATCATATGAGACCCAGAAGTGACCGAACGTTAAGAACTAGATCCTTTATTGTCATTGTTATCGGAAGAGTGTGAATAGGGTGGTGGTATCTGGGGACGTTGAAATCGTTGACGCGAAGAAAAACCTAGATGTATTTTTTTTTTTTTTTTTTTTTTTTTTTGCCAGAAACCTTCAACATTAGTTTCACACTTCAACACGCTGCTGGTTGCGTAGCCTTCAAAATCGCGCACAGTCCACTAGGAGAAGGGAACGGGCCGACCCATTTTTGCGACTGGAAAGGTTTGGTCGAGACAGGGCTGCTCTAAAGCTTGCTGGATGGAGTTCCAAGGTTGGTCACCGTGGGTTAGTAAGTATGCTTTCAGGGCATGTTTTAACTGCAAAAAAAAACACACCACACAACAATGCAGGCGGCCAGATTGCTTGCTACTGACCCTATGGATAAACAAGCCGCTGTGCGATCATGGAACATGCCAGTTTGCCTGGTAGCTTGGCTGTCTGCCTGTTTGCGATGAAGTATTTGAGATTGGACTGTCAGCATCGGCCATTAATAATCGCGTATTGTATCCAGTTGGGTTTGGTTGGTGAACCGTATCCAAGCCAACCAACCCCCCCCGGACTCAGCGGACTGGCGGTGTTGAATTTTTTTTTTTTTTTTTTTTTTTAAAAAAAAGGTCCTTTGTCATCTGGTTGGCTGCCATTTCGGACAGCGGTCTTGCAATTCTACGGCCATTAAAAGGATATCTATGGAACGCCACCTGTGCCCAAGAGTACAGTGCACAGTACATGGATACAGACAGTATCCTCTCAACCACCCCCCCCCCCCCCCCTCCGGGGCGGAAAAAGTGGCCTAGATTGCTAGTCGGAGGGATGGCTGTTGCAGGAGAATCTGTCTTTTATTCCTGGAGATGTTCTACAGTTACGGGTTCTATGGTGACTCGGCAACATCAAATATGAAGATGATGACCGTCCTCGAAGCCCTTGATCTCAAAGTTAGCGGGAGTTTTTGAGGCAGCTAGACTCTTTTAAAATGTGCATCGTCTTGCACCATATAGATCCCTGCATGTCCAGGGTAATTTACTGCAGTATCAGATTTGTCCACGGCAGCCCCACCCTTGTGAGCATCTGGTTTCCTTTGGGTGACGGTATGGTGTCTCTGCAGCGCCTAGCAGCCTAGCGAGTCACTCTTCTTCAGGCTTGGTCACACTAATATCTCCCACACCTCCCACGACGGAATCTCTTCTGATCTTCTCGAGATTGGTTGCGCCGCCTCGTGCTGCCGGATACATGCTGTTCGATTATTGATCAGTCGGCCCCCCCCCCCAAGTCGTCAATCGTACTGCGTCAGGATCGAGAAATAATACCCACCGCTAGCAGGAGTGGGGTGCGTTTCCGACCAGCAACGACTGACTGACTGACTGTGTGTGTGTGTGTGTGTGTGTGTGTGTGTGTGTGTGTGTGTGTGCAGATGCGAATGCTGAACCAGCCCGTCTGTCCATTCCTCTCTCCAGACTTTCCGTGCCAGCAAGCTGAGTGACTAAAAGGCGAGAACCAAGTGACGAATCAACTTCTTCATTGATGGATAGGCTTTACCCATTTAATTCCTGCATCTTGGCACAATCCAAATCCCGGTTCTTTTGAGTTCATTCCAGTCGATGGTCTTTTCTGGATCGGGATCGTCAAGTCTCAACCAAAAAAGTGACAGGTCGCCTTCGAGCTGTCGGTAGTAGTTGCAGACCAAAAAACCCCATCCCCCCCTCAATGGTGCCCGCCAACAGGAAAAAATCAATGACGTATTATTATCTGATAATGAGTTCATGGATAATGGTAATTTAGTGATCGTGATGACATTATTCCATTTATCATTAACTAACTGACTATTATTATCCTGCTTATTATGATCAAATGGCGTAGTCCAGCTGCTTCCCGGCCATTATTGTGTGGTTTGGTCGCGTTCCTGGCATGCCATTCTCCCAGGCCCACCGCCGCCGCCCTCCGCTACCTGAAGCTTCCGCTGATGGGTCGTTCGTTGGCGTTTTTGCTTGGTCACCTCTCCCGGGCTTGGTTTTCTTCTGGCTTTCTCCCTCCCCCCCAAAACCGACGCTAAACCTCACTGGCGTGGGAGTTTCCTTGAATGTCTGTCTGTTGACTATCCCAAGCCTTGAACCAACCACTTTGGAGGGTGGCTTGGGGCTGCAAGCCTGCAAACCCCCTGGCGGTAGTGCACCCACTATTTTCCATCACCAGGGATATTTAACCAACTATGTACTGTACCGCTCAACATCCACAGCCTCGATCAAAGCTTCCCGACTCTTCCCTCACACGCTGCATCCCCATCCCAATAGCCCCGCTACTTGGACGGGTCCGCTGCCGACAGGAATTTCCCAATGCGCATGTCATAATTGTGCTTACCTAGGTATTTCCGTCGGTAACGACGACATCTCAGACCTTTCGCCCGCAAAGAGCTACTAAGTACTTGGCTTCTCTCCTTTGCCTTTTTTTTCGGCCCAGTAAGCTATCAGGTTTTATGCTATAATTACCCCCAATAGCGTCCAGGGCCCCTGGAACGCTAGTCGGGAAACAAACTGCGCTCCCCTGGCGTATCTTGCCTTTTACCCCCAACGCCGTTCTCCGCTTTTGCATCTGCCGATCGCCAGAATCGTTTATATATCTCTTATTTCCGGTTCCTTTCAACCTAGGTTGTTTGCCCCTACAACACCTGGAACATCCCTTTGATTGTTTGACACCTTCCAAATCGCCCCTGAGTTATTGATATACCCTGGGCATTTCTTCCCCACCCTTGTCGTTTGTTTACTGCTCCTTTTTTTTTTTTTTTTTTTGGCCCACCACGAACCAGCCTCTGGCGACTGTCGGGGACTAATTGAGACCGCGGCGATTTCTTTCTGCAACTCTTGACCACCAGACGCACATTTTTTTTGTTCGCATTTAAATGTTCGGGCGTCTCTAGTAGATATAACACCTCTAATCCGCAAAGGACGTTTGAACACCAATCGCCGCCACAGACAGTGGGAGTCGTCAGGAACAAGGTCCACTGGTGACGGCAAAAAGAAACGATAAGGAAAAAAAGCAAAGACGTGTTGCTTTTTTTAAAAAAAAAAAAAATAAAATAAAATAAAATAAAATAAAATAAAATAAAATAAAATAAAATTAAATAAATTAAAAAAAAAAAAAAAAAAAAAAAAAAAAAAAAAGAAAAAAGAAAGAAAGAAAAAGAAAAGAAAAGAAAAGAAAAGAAAAGAAAAGAAAAGAAAAAAATAAAAGAAATAAAAAGAAATAAAGAAGAAGCAAAAAGAATAAAATAATAGAAAAAGAAACCAAGTTACACACTATCTTTATTTCAACTGACGTCTCAGGGTGTGTTGGCTGTCATCATCATTGTTATTTTCTCGCTGGCCTTACGATCTGGAGATTCAGCATCCCGCGACTTCGTGACTGGGGCCCGCAATCAACCTCGGACCACACATTCTCCTCTAGGCTCATTCACTGTGCTCGAGATGGAGACAGCGGTTCCGGTTACGTATAATGTCCCCAACCATGATATGAATGCCGTTCCCCCCCGCCGCATGATGACACCCAGTCACCATGACCAGAATATCGCGTACTTCTCAAACCCATCAATACCATATTCAACGGCTCTGCAGCCCCCGCCCTTCAGTGGTTTCGGTCATATATTGAATAACCACCACCATCCCTCGTATCATTCTTACTTCAGCTCAAATCCAAATCACCATGTTAATTCGCATCATCCGCGATTGCCAATTGAGGCCCTCCCAGTGCAGCCACAGCTCTCTGATGTCCGCCATGTCAAAAACTTCATCCCTCGTTCAATCAGACCTTCACCCCCGAAGGAAGACCATATACCTCACCCGCCACCTCAGCGCGTAAACGTAGCACCGGCACGGGCACGAAATGTCACTACCCAACATGATGATCCCAAGGGCCCCACCAAACCTGAAGTCGATTTCGGTACAGAGGTGGACACATTGATGAAGACCATACAGGCCAAACCGCAATCATCTTCGCCCCAAGTTGAACATCAGCTTCCTCCTTTACAACAAAAGTTTAACAACGGTGTCCCCAGTTGGATTCAGCCAGCCTACGCCAACCAAATGCCTGGCAACCAGGGAATTTTCCCTACTCCTCCTCAAGATCGCATTATGTCCACGAACCAAAAACCAAGACGGAAATACGAATGTACCCTTCCCCAGTGTAGGAAGAGCTTTTTCCAGAAAACGCATTTGGATATCCATATGCGGGCACACACTGGGGATAAGCCATTTGTAAGTCCCGCATTCGTCCTTTCGATGGTGTTGGGAAAGGAAGAAAGCTTATTCAATATGTGCGTAGACATGTAAAGAGCCTTCATGTGGTCAACGGTTCTCTCAACTGGGCAATCTTAAGGTGAGTTGAGATGTAGAGAATTACGAGCGTCGTGCCGGACGGAGCACTCAATATTTACAATTGCTCTCTACAGACTCATGAGCGACGACATACAGGCGAGAAGCCATACTCGTGCGAGATCTGTCACAAGAAATTTGCCCAGCGAGGCAACGTTCGTGCCCACAAAATCACACATGAACAGGCAAAGCCTTTTACATGCCGTCTGGACGACTGCGGGAAGCAATTTACACAGCTCGGTAATCTAAAGGTGAGTCAAATGAATGAAAACACCCAATCATATAATGACTTCGCAACGTACCATCAATTCGTTCTCCCCTTCTCAGAGCGCTAACAGATCGTGTAAATGACCCAGTCTCACCAAAACAAATTCCACACCCAAACCCTCCGAAACCTAACCCTTCGATTCGAATCCATCGGCAACAGCGATCGTATGAGCCCGCAAGACAAGGAGCTGTGGGATTACTTCTCCACTCTGTATCGGAATAGCAACAAGGGCATAAAGGGTCGGGGCAAGGACCGCCGCGTATCAACAGCGAAGCGCTCGACGAGTACATACGAAGGAAGTGTATCGGATAGCGACGAAGATCTCAAGATCCGCAGCAGAAGTTACGATCGCGTATCGGCGGTAATGACCTTGGGCGGCGAGGACCTTGGGCGGTGAGGAGCCAGATTACAAGCTTTATCACCAGAGAAACGATCACCATTAAGATGGGCGGATTACGCCATCAGTCCGTGTCTGGGAATCATATCAGCGAAATTCCGGTGGCACAGCCCGGCAGTCTCAATGTGTTAGGAGTGGCGGATAACAAATACTGACACCCACGAGTGATATGTGCCCAAGAATTTTGCACTGAACGATCAGGATGTGTATGGGATGTGGGATTTCGTCCGCCAGTGAACGAAATACCCACACAGAGAGCCGCAAGCTCATTACAGACCGGTGTTAAAAAAAATCTACAAAATTCTGCCCCATGCACGTCATCATCCCTTTTCACCTATTCCCCTCTTTAGGACTCTTTTTCTCTTTTGTTAGTTACCTTTCTAGCGTGTGCGTTCGGATATCAAATGCTTTATTTGTGTTCTTAATAACCGGAGATATTTCGTGTCCCACCCCTTTTTCTCTTTGTCTCTCTCTCTTCTTCTTTTTTTTTTTTTTTTTTTTTTTTTTTTTTTTTTGATTTCCAACTATTCCTCTATACATGCAATTTATGCAAGGACAAAACAAAGAAAGAAAAAAAAAAAAAGGAGAAAAGAAAAATTAAAGTTATTTGGATAGCGACTGGACAGGGGTTTTTGAGGCCCCTTTGCAGTGTGATTGCGGGATATTGGATACAGGACATATACTTTGCTTTGGGTTTCTTGAAAAGGCAGGGCGCAACGGATAAAACAAAAGGCGAAGGAAAAGGAAAGAAGATTATATATACCTAGTGGGCAGCGGTTGTTGTATGGATATTGGTATGGATATAGTAATATAGCAAGGTGTTGGGTGACCGGGAAATATTTTGTTCGGGTTTAACTTTCTGTGATTAGGATGTGATAGTCCCATTTAACTATGTATTTAGGATTGTTGTTGGCCAGTTCTTTGGCCATTATACGACTTTTTCATTGCCTCGCTTCCGATTTTTCGTTTCTTGGTTCCTGGAGCATCTTAACCCTGCCGTGGGTGGTCGTTGCGAAAGGATGTGAAGGAGGTAGACATGACATTTTGACATGGAAGATATTCCGCCTTATCGCACCAAAGCATAGCGCCATTAACGAAGGCATCAATAATCCTGATCCATGACATGAATGGCTTAGTTACTTGGCTACTCTTACAGCACAGTGTAAATAAACCCAGGTGGAAAACCCTTGAATATCCTCACAGGCTTCTAGGCAACACCCACCCATTTTGATGTATATCTGTCCAGGAACAGTTTGTACAATGATGACTATACACTATACAAAGGCACTTCGACGAAGGAAACCGGTTACCCTCTTCTCAAAGGAAAGGTAACGTACATGTTTCACGTTCCTGGTTCGAAAGTAATAATACCGACACCATAATCATATGGAGGAATCTCATAGTCTTCTCTTCTTGAAAATATTTTACTGTACAATTCTCTTTGGAGCCCCTCCCCCCTTCTCTATATAAAACTACAAGAAAGAGACGAAATGAATAAAAAAAGAAAGGGGCATATCTTGTTGTTCACTTCCACGGGGTTGGATGTCGAACATAAGAATGTCAGAAAAAAAAAAGGGGGGGGGGGGGGGGGGGGGGGAAAGGAAAAGATTTTCACGTTGACAACATTCAAGTCAGAAACCTCAAACTGATATCACCATTCAATCTAAACCGACCGATGGACCCGTTTACACATGTATGGCATCAGAACAGGAAATAGGGAGGAGGCTAAGGAAGAATGTCGGGAGGGAAAGTGAAAATTGAAATTAGAAAGGAGAATGGACCAGATGAAAAGAACAGACACACCCATGCACAGATGGAGTGCACACGGAAAAAGATATAACGAACACGGAAGTTTGCAAACAAAAAAAGAAACAAAAAAAAAAAAAAAAAAAAAAAAAAAAAAAAAGGGAAAAGAGAGAGAGAGAGAGAAACAAGGCATGGCTATTCAGTCGGATGGATATGTTCTTTTCCCGAAAGTGGGACAACAGGCAGCGATTGGGGGATCTGCGATCGGGCGGTTCGTCTGGGAACGGAAGTACACACACAAAATATAATATAAAAAAAATTCCTGTGTTCGATTTTGATTTTATAAATGGAAAGTTAGAGGGGTCTGCATGGCCCGCACCTCCTTTTCCATTTTGAAGATCGCCGAAGCTGGATGAAGAGTGAAGAGATGAGCTATTAAAACATGGGGTTGGAAAAGGAGGTTAGATGGATATTGGAAGATAGGGGTTCGGGATTCGGGTTATGAGAAGATGATGATAGGTGTTGATGGGAGCTGTGATGGAGCTTCTGTTTTAATGGGGTTTGTCATTTGCTTTTCATTTTTTGGGTTAGAATGGTGGGGAGGGGACGTTGGGCATTTCGCCGGATTCTTGCTGTTCCATTAATTCCTCCGATGCCATTTCGAAGGAGACAGCGAGGCCGATCTTGGATTGTTGCTAGATTGGGAGAGTTTGGTTAGCGGAAACTTTCATTTTCACTTCCACGTTTACATTTTTCTGATACTGATAATTGATGGACATTGACGTACCTTAACCTGGTCAATCTCTCCCGCAAAAGTCAAAGAGATGGGCATCGCAACGCGCTTCTCCAAAAGACAGCTCAATTTGCCAGCACTGTCAATCTGGGCGCGGAAGGTTGAGGCTCTGAATTCATATTTGGCTCCGACGGTGGCGAGTCCCTCCTTGCGGATGTTGCCCATCATCCCGCTAGGGCTAGGGGAGAACTGCAGGTTCATATCGACACCGGCCTCGACCTTATCAGACAATTTTCTCCAGTAGGAGGCATTGATGGCGCCTTGAGCTTGCAGCTGGGCGCTGGCAATCCAGCCATTTCCCTTATACTTTGCGCAATATGATAGGGCGGTTTCGGGAGGCAGGCTGAGACCCTGTCGCTGCCACATGGCTTCAAGACCAAGAGCGAGGCTTGGGGTAACGGATTGGAGATAGCTTCCCACGAATATTCCTGTCATACTCCCTCCTAGGAATGATGGGTTGAATGCCTTGAGGGAGATGGAGAAATCCGCACCGGTGTAGTCGTTATCAATCTGCACCAGGCCTTGCGCGCTACCGGGCATTATCTGAGTGTTTGTCTTTGTAACCAATGCGGAATTCCACCTGTAATTGGCCACAGCGGCTAGAGCCCCATCGCTACCGAGGTTTCCTTGTAGGAAGACCTGTTTTCCATTGTTAGATTTAGATGCGAGGCTAAACAGGGAAATTGTTTTTGTGCGGAGAATATAACATACCTTTGGGGAACCGAACATGGAAGAGAATGCGTAGGGGGGAAGAGTCCCTTGCTGCGAACCCATTGTGAAGGCATGAGAGATGCGGAAGAGGGGAGACATGCCGAAGACCTTGGTCAGATCGGCACGGAAACCGGTGAACATGAAGTTGGATAGAAGGACGTCCTTCTGAACTTCTCTGGCAACATTCTCGACGGTGCCTGGATTGGAGAGGCCCAAGGCTTCTCTTCGGGCGGAAAACGAGCCATATACATCTTTAAGGGCGGCTGTCACGGCATTGTCTGTGAGGAAGGAGAGAGAAGATAAGACGTCGGACATGTTGGGTGGAGAACAGAGGGAAGATGCAGGATTGAGGATCGGGGAAGAGGGAACCGCCCTTAGAGTGGACGGGGGAGGGGGTGGTGCAGCAGGAGACGCGGACCCAAGCTGGTGGAACGGGATTGATGGATGGCGGGGTAGCCTGGGGTATTGGGTTGTATAGGGGTGGGATTAAGCGTAGATATACATACATACATACATACATATATATATATATATATATGTGATGTTTTTTTTCAGAACTACGATTGATGTTTTTGACGAAGATTCGGAAAGTTTGAACATTTTGCGGTGCACGGGGCACAATGCCAAGAAATAACACATGACGCACGGCGCTATGTTGTTTTGGGGATAGTCCAGCCTTGGCATGTCATGTCAAACCTCAAGAACAAACTTGACATTGCCTTGTTCTATACAGACAAAGAAGAAGAAGAAGAAGAAGAAGAAGAAGAGGAAGAGGAGGAAGATTGGTGATGATGATCTAAGAAGTATGTCTAATATCTATTTGTTGTGCATGCACTGATATCATTCTAGGAAGCATCTGAATGTGTTTCTCGTGTGGCCCTGTTGTGGCGTGAAGCTTAACTCTCTCCTCTTTATCTAGATAGTCTCTGAAGCAGGATTTCTGATATAATCATCATCAGAAAGACTTTCCTTTTGTATTGTCATCTTACTATTGGGACACATCCTGTCCTGTTGCTAGATTCATAGCCCAATTAATTCCAGCTGAATTTCCCGCTCCTCTGATTCCATCGTTGTGAGAGCTCTCTTCGAAAATGGACACTCTTCTGTAAGAGCCCCACCCCAGGCCGCAACCCCTTGCTATATGGCAACTACAGCATCTCTAACAGCTAAAACCAGAACGGCAAAAGTCGTTGCAAGCTCCCCTCGCTTCCGCAGAAAGTCCAGCACCTTCGTGGACGCCATCCATGACTTGCCAGGGGGAGTCGAGCTTGCTCCCGCGCAGCTCTACAGCACAGAGTCTGGACGTCTCTTCCATTCAGGACGCATTGTAATTATTACAGTGGGCTTACCAGCTCGCGGGAAAACGTTCGTTTTTTGCAAGATAAAATCACTTGGTCGTTCCTTTTGCTAGCTCTGAGTATGGAGTGCTGACTGATTCCCTCTTTTTGGTATTGTTTTGCAGACACATATCCGTTGCTCTTGCCCGGTATCTGAGATGGTTCGCATTGTCCTATGGACCGACACACCCACCTCAACCCCAAAACACACACCTGGAGTTTCACGGGTTGGACTAACAGCCACGTACAGGCTGGGTGTGAAAACGAGGATTTTCCACCTTGGAGACTATCGACGTGCCACCGTGGGGCCTGGTCAAGATGTCCCCGATGACTACTTTTTTGTCAATGGTGAGAAGAACCTGAGGATAAGCTGTTGCTTTTGCTATCGTGTCTCCTGTTGAGGTTTGCTCTGGATCGTTGTCTACTGAAAGGGGATTTTTCTAACCCTCTTCTCGCTTATAGCGTCCGCCTCGTCTGTCCTGCTCAGGCAAAAGATTGTCAAAAAGTGTAGAGAGGACATCTACCATTTTCTAAAGCACGAAAACGGCCAAATTGCCATATATGATGCCGTGAACCCTATCGCAGCTGGTCGTCGCTCTCTAGCTAAGGAATTCGCTAAGCATAACATAGACGTGAGGATCTCTCCACCCTCTAAAAATCCGATATCAAAATTTCTGAAGTAATGACGTACTAACTCTCATTCATACAGACACTATTCATTGAATCGTTGTGCGACGATGAGCGAATAATCGAGGAAAACGTTCTAAGTGTCAAAATCTCGTCTCCGGACGTATGTTGATACCATTTTCCCGTTTAAAACACTACATTTGTTGAAGAGGGGGTGCTGACTATGCTAGTATGTTGGTTGGGACCCAAAAGACGCTGTGAAGGACTACCTGGCAAGAATCTCAGCGCGCATACCTCAATTTGAGACAATGAATGAACAGGAGCTGAATTATATTAAGGTTGGTGGTACGAAGCATAAGATATAAGATCGCACTTGACTGACACGGGAGACATAGATGGTCAACGCTGGTGAGAGAATAATGATCAACAACCGTTCCTTCGGCTATCTGCATCACCGCATAGTTTTCTATCTTCTCAATTTACACAACAAGTCGCGCCATACATATTTTGTTCGGGTATGTTATATCATATATTTGCCCTTCTCGTCTACCTGTGGCTAGCTGATACCGTCTAGGCTGGAACATCCACCGACCCCACATCCTACAAAGCCGACGCTTCCCTTTCCGAACAAGGTATCGACTATGCACAGAAGATGACAGAACGATTGCTCCAGCATCGCGAATTGGAAAGGCAGGTGTTGATTGAGCAGGGGGATGCGGACACGGAATTAAAGCCCCTTACGGTGTGGACATCAACCCGCCGCCGGACCGTGGAGACGGCACAGTTTCTGCAAGAGATGGGGTATAAAGTGCGCCATCGGTCACAGATGAGCCAGTTGAATCCGGGCGTTTGCGAGAAGTTGTCTGAGCGGAAGATCCGGGAGCTGTATCCTGAAGAGGTGATTAAGCATGAGAATGATCCGTATCATCATCGGTATCCACGGGCTGAGGTGGGTTGGACGAAGATTTTATGAGTGATTATTTTTTTTATTTATTTTTTTTTTTTGGATTGGCTAATTTCTTTAACAGTCCTATCACGACCTTGCTGTGCGTCTTGAGCCGATTATCCTGGAACTTGAGAGGGAGAGGAATGACCTGCTTATCATTGCGCATGAGAGTGTATTGCGTGTGCTCTATGGGTATTTGATGGCTTGCAACGCTGCGGATATCCCGTTCCTGTCATTCCCCCGCGATGAGATTATTGAGGTAAGCAATTCCCCCTCCCATTCCTATCCAATTTCTTTATATACATCCACTTCTAATTTCAATGTCACTTCAGCTGCTAACAATGCGAAAGATTATCCCAGCAAGCTACAACAACTCAGCCAAAAGAATCCACATCCCCGATCTGCCTGAGGAGATCATCCCTGCGTCGCCAGAAGACATCAAGATTCCCGCCCCGCCCAGTGGGGTTGTCTCGCCTATGCCCGGTGGATTGGATGGTACTAGCAGCGCAGGACCGCCGAGAGGAGGCACGCCGCAAAATGGACTGAAGACGCCACAGGATGGAGAGAAGATTTTGCAACATCATGTTGAGGATGTTGTTTAGTTGTTCAAGATGTTCAGATGTTGTGATGGTCGTTGTTCTGCTTACTTTCTTTCTCGTCTTGTCGTTTTTAAAGCTCTGTGCGTTTTCTCTGGTAAAGTTCATGCGATATGGAGTAACGAAGTCACTGTTTTCTTCTCTTTCCTTTCCTTTCCTTTCCTTTCCTTTTTTTTTTTTTTTTTTTTTTTTTTTTTTTTTTTTTCTTTCTATTTTTCTTATCGATCTTCTGCTACGGCATGTTTCGAGCGGGCTTTCTCTTGTTGAATTTTATTGGTTTTGCTTTGTTCGCTTTGTCTGCCCATTCAAGAATATATACGAGAGCGAAAACAAGATCGAGAATAGGCGAGTAAGTATCCGTCCAGCGATATATTTCTTGTTTTTTTGATTCTGCTTTTCTTTTTGCACTTTTAAGGCCTTTAGCTCTATCCCCCATGCAACGTAGACACGAATAATATGTTATCCCCTTGCTGAATCCGATACTTCTCTTCCCCTTCCAATTCCCAGTCCGCATCATTTATCAGCACGAGGATGCCGGGCCGTCTATCCCAACACGTAGTATCAGCAAACTGGACCACCAAACGAACACCCAAACACCCAACACGACATCTACAAACCCAGCCATTGACAGAAGGAAAGGAAATGGAAGGAGAAGGAATAACTTACATAGCCCCATCAAGCACAAACAGCTCCCTTCGCTGATCTTGCATGACGTTCTCTACCAGGTGGTGGACGAGAGAGGATATGGTTGTCGGTTCACAGGTTGACGCTGTTGTGGCAGGGACGGAGAGGGTGTGTTTTCGCTTGTTGGAGAAGAGGGATTCGAGGCCACCGCTGTTTGAGGGGGAAAGTGGTGGTTAGTTGGGTGTATTGTATAGGAATAGTGGTGTTTAAGAGGGGAAGAGAGGAGCGTACGTGAATTCTACGGTGATGTTGAGAGGCTGTAAAGGGCTTGCGGAAGGGGAGGGGGGGTTGCTTATGGAGCCCATGGTCATTTGGATGGTGTGGGTTGTGCAGTTTTCGCAATAGATGGGTGTTAAATGGTAATAGTAACTGTCAAATAGGGGTTGAACTGGTCGATATAATTACGGATGTTGATGTTGATGTTGATGTTGATGTTGATAATCATGTATGAGAAAAAACCGCGGGGAAAGAAAAGACGCACGAATATATTTTCTTATCGATAAGCTGTGATGAGATGAAATATGCGAACCACCGACATCCAACATCCCACATCCAACATGACTATAACAACTAATGCACCCACAACTCTCCTACCCCGAAAGCCCTCAATACTTATAGCGTACGTGGGTATATAGAATATATCCTGTCTGCGCTAGGATAATATTCTCGCCGCAAATCCCCATGGCGTCGCCAAAGATCAGCGCCATCACTGAATACCTCTCCGTTGGCGGAAACAGACATCCTGCTGCCGCGGACTGGGACTTGCAGACCGGTATCCTCGCATTCGGCGCTGATAACAATATCGCCCTATGGGATCCTGCTGTATGCCCTCCCCATTCATACTTTTGCTCATTAAGCTGAGTCAATCGCAAATATCAGGCTAATCCCACCGACTACCACTGTAGGACAAGTATCATAATGGGGTTTATGCCATATTAACGGGGCACACAGATAAAGTGAACGCGGTCAAATTTTATACACCCCCTTCCTCCGCGTCCTCAGGCTCCCACCATTTCTTACTCACTGGCTCTGTTGATCGGACGATACGGGTCTGGCGCCATCAGCAGCAGCAGGCCAATAACTCCAATTCCAATTCCACATCTACATCTACATCTACATCTACATCAACTACTAGACCATTATTCCAACATGTTGCAACCTTACAAGGCCACGAAGGCTCCATAAACTGCATTGCCGTTGCGCGCGGTTCAGATCTATTCGTCTCCGGTGCCGCGGATGGGACTGTGAGGATGTGGAGGCTAGATACCGGCAAGAGGCTAAGTTGCAATGGGCATGAGAATGATTTTCTGACAGTACGAGGACAATTGGTGCAGACGATTACCCTGAAACCAAAGTTTTTCCCGTTGGCACTCGCCTTGAGGACGCTTTGTGTAGAGAAGAAGGAACCGAAAGAGAATGGGAAAGGGAATGCTACGTGTGCTCCACCAATGGTTCTGGCTGTCGGCGGGACGAGGAATACGATACAGATCTTTGTGATGCAGGGGCACGAAGGGGAGGAATTTGAGCTTAAAGCTTGTCTTGCGGGTCATGAGGCGTGGGTGAAATCTCTTGCCTTTACGGATATGAATGGTGAACAGAGTCAGACGTCATCGCAATCACAATCTAAATCGCAATCGCAGGATATATTCCTCGCGTCTGCCAGTCAGGATAAATATATTCGTCTCTGGCGGGTTCATGCGGGCGATGACCGCGTCCCAGTCCGAGGGAACGCCAATGGGGAGGCGGAGGTGATACTCGAAGCTAACGTCGAGCAGACACTCTCCAATAAGGTGCATGAATTCGAAGCAAGTGGGATGAAGTATTCCATTACTTTTGAAGCCCTCCTTTTCGGCCATGAGGACTGGATCTATACCGTCGCCTGGAGCCCGGATCCCCCACATTCCAAGCTTCTCTCCGTCTCTGCGGATAACTCGTTGGTTATCTGGGAGCCGGACCCGGTCTCGGGCGTCTGGTACCCTGCCTCGCGAATGGGGGAGATTAGCGTGCAGAAGGGGTCTACAACGGCCACGGGGAGTACTGGTGGGTTCTGGATTGGTCTTTGGTCACCTCGTGGTGATACGGTGGTTAGTTTGAGCCGTACGGGTTCCTGGAGAATGTGGAGATTTGAGGAAGCGTCGGATCTTTGGGTGCAGGATGTTGCTGTTACGGGCCATGTGAGGTCGGTTAATGGGATTGCGTGGGAACCGACGGTTGGGGGTTATCTCCTGTCGACGAGTTCGGATCAAACAACGAGATTGCATGCTAGGTGGAGACATGGTAGTAGCAGTGATGCCCAGCAGCAGGTTTCATGGCATGAGTTTGCTAGACCGCAGATACATGGATATGATCTAAACTGCATAGCGTCCCTGGGCCCCTGGCGCTTCGTCTCAGGTGCCGATGAGAAGCTTCTCCGCGTTTTTAATGAGACAAAGGCAATTGCCAACCTCCTCGAGAATCTCACAGGGTTCACTGGTGGGCCTAAACCGGCCGACATGCCGGAGTCAGCTAACATCCCCGTCCTCGGCCTGTCTAACAAAGCTGCTAAAGACAACGATGACGACGACGACGACGACAACGAACAACAAGATGAAGACCATGACGAACAATCCACCTCACCAGCCCAATCCCAACTGCACCCGCAATCATCCTCCGCCCTGAACCTCCCCCACCCCCCTCTCGAAGACCACCTATCAAAATACACTCTCTGGCCCGAACACGAAAAACTCTACGGTCACGGCTACGAAATCTCAGCCCTAGCCACTAGCCACGACGGCACGCTCATCGCCACAGCCTGCAAAGCCAGCTCGCTCGACCATGCAGTTATCCGCCTGTATGACGCTGCCTCGTCATCCTGGCGGGAGATTCGTCCCCCACTCACGTCACATTCGTTGACGATTACATGTTTACGGTTTTCGGCGGATGATATGTTTTTGGTTAGCGTGGGGAGGGATAGGCAATGGGCGGTTTCAAGGAGGGTGGAGGAGGGAGGGGAAGGGGAAGGGCAAGGTGGAGTTTTTAAGTTGTTATGTGCGAATCCGAAGGGCCATTCAAGGATGATTTTGAGTGCCAGCTGGGCACCGATGGTGGATGGTGCTGATGCGGGTAAGAGAATGTTTGCGACGGCGGGGCGGGACAAGACTGTGAAGTTGTGGATGCAGGGGCAGGATCAGGAGTCGTTTACGTGTAAAGCTACGATGACCCTTTCAAGTCCTGTTACGGCGGTTGATTTTCTCCCTGTGGTTGTTGGGCAGGGCTGGTTTTTCCTTGCTGTGGGCTTGGATACGGGGCGGCTTAGTATACATGCTTTTGCGGTTGATGGGCTTGGGCAGGTTGGAGAGGGCTGGGCATTGCCTGCGTCCGAATGTCCATCTAAATCTGTTACGCAGTTGGCGTGGAGGCCTGTGGGCAGCGGAAATGGGGTAATGGATGACAATAGGGGGTATGAGCTTGCGGTTGCGAGTGAGGATAGTTCAGTGCGGGTGCTCAGGATTGAGGGTTTGTCACCTTAATGAAAGGTATGTTGGTTTTTATTATGAATGATTGAATGAAAATGTGCATGAGAGCAATGCTATATATCTATAGAACTATAGACTTGAATGCTGTGAACCCATTTTTCTATTCCCTCTTTGGCACTTGAAGCCATCCCTCCTATATGTCCAGAGAAAACGTAAACCGTCTCGATCTATTAGTATGCCGGACTTCAATAAAACATGTTGTGATCGTGTCATGAAGTAATGGATGAATCCACTTCGAAGGCCCAAACAAAATAAAGAACAAGAAAACAAGCATGACGACCCGCATCGTACATAACAATGTAAAGGATACATGATAATTATATCCCCTTCCCATCAATCTCTGGAACCTGCTTCCCCTCTCCCGGTAAGCCCGGGCGAGGGCCTCTCTCCTTCAAATCCTTTTTCAACCACTCCAACACCACCTCACTCAATCGACTATTCTCTGAATCCGACACCTTCTTCCACATCTCAAAGTTCTCGATGGGCCCACAATCCCTCACCCGCCCCATATGCATATGCACCAGATGTGTCGGCCACTTCGCCAAATTATCCAAGATATGCGTAGCATACACAATAGTACACCTCCTCTCCTCCGTCTCCCGCTTCAGAAACGCCAGAAACTCACTCCGGCTCAAAAGATCTAGATCCACGGTGATTTCGTCCAGAAGGAGAAGTGTCCAGGGCCTCAACAGGCCCATAGCAAGCTGGACACGGCGGCGCTCTCCATCGGAGACAGCGTGCATGTGCCAGCTCAGGTCTATGTCGAGGATGCGGACGAGCTGGTCACGGCGGGCTGGGTAGGCGTCCCCGCCCACGGAGGCGAGGAGGGTGGGCACGTCGATGTCTGTGCGGACTATGGGATTTAGAACCCATTCAACGCCCAGGTAGGTTACGCCTTCGAGACCGGTGGTGAAGGGGTCGATGTCATCGATTAGGACGGTGCCGTGGGGGGCGAGGCGTTTGCCGGAGAGGAGGCGGAGGAGGGTAGTTTTGCCGGCACCGTTGGCTAGTTTGGTTGTTAGCATGTGAGGGCGGAGGATATCTTGTATGGTTGTAGTTATGTATATGTGTATGAGTATGAGTATGGAGGGCGGGGCGGGTGCGGGGTGGAAGCGGGGGAGAGCATGTATGTGCGGAAATGAAGGAATTTATTTACCGCCAATCAAGAGGCTTCGACTGCCTTTGGGGAGGTCGAGGGAGACATCAGTTAATCCATCAATGCCGTCTGGGAATTTGTAGTTGAGACCATGAACCTGGATAGAGGCACTGGAAGCTGATGGCGTCATGGTGTGCTGAGATACAGAAGGGATAATTAGAGGGATAACTAGGGAATTTGCTGTGGGATTCTATTGAATGGACGTCTATTCGAATTGTATGTATGTGTATGCATTAAATATATGGGGGAAGGGTGATATTAATAGTGCTGTAGGAGACCCGGAGACATGACGGAATGTTGTAGTTTATGATGCTTGACGTTTGGATATTTTTATATTGCGAGGGACAGGGATCAAGGGGTGTGTCAGGGTTGATCCTGGAGTGTTCTGGCTGGTATTGCCGTGTATTTTAGGGGTTATTGCACATGTGTATTTTGCATTGTGGAACGGGTTCAGATGGTGTACATATGAGTATATCATGCAGTGCTTTTCCTATGTGGAATGACAATGATCATTTATATCTGAAGTTCTGCGAAATCTAGGGGCATCCGAAAGGTTTGAGTTGATCTATGCGACAGATTTTACACAGATTACAATACAATACACCCATAAATACAAGCATCTTCCACTTGAATGATCCCAAGGAGATATCAGGGGTAACCCGATATATATCCACAGATTAATCAACAACCGGAATATGAAACTGGAATCCCAATGCTTAATCTTCTGCGACCGCTGGGCATGTCTTCCAAGGTTCCTGCAGAGCCATTAATCGCTGTCATCGGCGCCACAGGAACGGGCAAATCTCAAGTAAGTATTAGCCAAAGAAAAAGGAAAATAGGCCATATTTCCCTTATGTTGATGTTGAGCGTCATAAAACCATAATTGTCATGTTTAACAAGATTCTTTATTTTCTCTTCTGAGAATGCCTCAACTAATAATTCACCTGACAGCTCGCCATCGACCTCGCAGCTCGCTTCAATGGCGAAATCATCAATGGCGATGCCATGCAGATGTACAGGGGTCTGCCCATCATCACCAACCAAATACCCGTTGAGGTGCGGCAGGCCATTCCGCATCATCTTCTTGGATGCATAGGGTTTGACCAGGAGCCATGGCGCATTAGTCATTTTAAAAGGGAGTGTTTGCGCACCATTAAAGAGATCAGGTCGAGGGGAAAGCTGCCTGTGCTGGTTGGCGGGACACATTATTATACGCAGGCTGTGCTATTTAAGGAGTCTATTTTGGATCGTGGTGAGGAAGGGAAGAGCAAGAGCGAGGGTGACGGTGAGGAAGGGGAGAAAGTCATGGCGGAGAATACCGTTGAAGCATCGAAGACTACACTGCGCTCGGAAGATTTCCCTATCCTTTACGAGTCGCCAGAAGTGATATTACAAAAACTACGAGAAGTAGATCCAGTAATGGCGAGTCGCTGGCATCCCAGGGACACGCGCAAGATCCGCCGCTCACTAGAGATTTACCTGCAAACCGGCAAGCCGGCATCGGAGATTTACCAGGAACAGCAGAGGCTCAAAGATGCTACCCGCAAAGCTCACAACAGCTTTGAACCAGATTTATCAGAAGAAGATTCTACTGCTGTCACCTCCACAACATCTTCTGCTAATGTCACAGAAGCTGGCCAACTACGCTTCCCAACACTTCTATTTTGGGTCCATACTAAAGATCAAGAACTCACCCATCGCCTCTCTCAGCGTGTGGATAACATGGCTGATAAAGGCCTCGTGGCAGAAGCAGAGTCACTATTTAATTACCTGAATGAGAAGAAGGCACAAGGCGTTGATATTGACCGCACGCGCGGCATCTGGGTCTCAATAGGTTTTAAGGAGCTGGAGCCGTATTTTCATGCCCTGTCTTCTTCTTCTTCTTCTTCTTCCTCTGTGAACGGCGGTTCGGGGAACGCTGCTGCCATGACCGCTGTAGGCGCTACTACCCCGGAGCAACTCGCACGCTTAAAACAAACATGTCTCGTATCGATAAAGACAGCTACTCGACAATACTCCCGCCAGCAGATTAAATGGATTAGGGGCCGGTTGTGGAATGCACTGACAGATGCACGTGCCACGCGGCAGTTATACGTTCTCGACTCGACAGATGTCACTTCCAATGCGGATGCCTGGGATACTGCAGTGAGGAAACCCGCTGAGCGCGTTGTGGGGGCGTTTTTAGCGGGTGATTCTGCGGGATGTCCGGTTCCCTGGGAGCTTTCGGAGACTGCGAGGGAGATTTTTGAGAGGGAATTGAAGATTCTCGTTGGGGGAGCGGAAGGGGGTGAAGGGGGAGGGAGGCAGAGGACAGTGTATCGATGTTCGACGTGCGATATGTGTGGGATTACGGTGCAGTCGGATGAGCAGTGGGAGATGCATGTGAAGGGGAGGAGGCATAAGCGGGCGGTTAGGAGTGCTGAGAAGAGGAAGGAGAGGGATGAGTATTTTGAAATGAGAAGGGAGAGGGGGGAGAAGGGGCAGGGAGAGCCGGTAAATGTGGATGAAGGGGCGTGAAGTCTGGGTCTGTGAAGGCGAGAGTTTGAGTGTAGATAGGAGCGGGAAGATTTTGATTTTGGTTCTGAGGTTGGACTGGAATTTTACTTGGTGACTACTGAATATGCAGTAAGGTAGGTGTTGCATGCGCGAACGATTGATTTTACACATATACCCCTTAAAATGTTTCGGATATTCTGTTGAAAGACATCATACCAGTTGCATACCATAGTAATAAAAATACAACGATGGGGAAAAGTAGGTCTGTGTACACGAAGATAATGTAAAATTTATATCTTAAAGATTTCCTGCTTCTTTCCTGCGAGCCGTACCAAAATTCCAAGCAACACCTACGCTGTCTTTCCCTTCATGGAAAACATAACAGGAGAAGAGAAAATGAAAATCGTAGATTCTACACGCCCTCCCTCTATGTCTGCTGCTTGAATTACATATAACATTTCAGGCATGTTGCGAAGCTGATTGTTCATGCACTCGAAACCTCTCCCATGTAACGCGTATCGAAATCACCGCAATTCATACAGAACAGTGCAGATGGAATGAAAAGGAGAGAAGAGAGACCAGATGGTGATATCCAACGTGGGAATGGACACAATTAACGAAGTGTTTCTCTTGTTGTTCCCATCCGCATTGAATACCTTGTTGCGAAGGAATCCAGCTTGAACGAGGCAAGTGATGCTAAACTTGAATTTTATAAACCCCCCTCGCTGGATGGATAAGCGACTGTGCCGGCTAGCCGTATATTATTTCTAATATGATGGTTTCTTGGCTCGCACTTCACGATTGTCAATTCATTCCATCCATATCCGTTCTTCCTTAAGAAGTCCCCCAGAAACCTCGGGAGCAGAGACCTAGAGAGATGCACTCGTTGCAGCTGGTTTGACCCAACCACTCAAAACTTCTTGCACTTGTTGAGAGATACTAATGGACAGCGAACCAAAAGAATCTGCAAGGTCATGCGTCCGTCATGTCAACTCAATGCATTGTAGCCTTTGTTTTTCTTTTTCTTCCTCCCTATATTTTCACGTGGTAGACCGCCAGTCAACAAACGACTGAGAGAGGATCCCTCCATGACCCGAATCCTCCAACTTGAAAACCTCGATAACAGGCGATTTCTCCTGCCTGCGGATCCTCCACAGCCCTTCATCATTAATCACAAGCTTCAGCCCTATTCTCAACTAGTTAGTGTACAGTTTTTACCTAAAAAATTATAAAAAGCTCCTCATAATAACAAATAGTTGGTAGAATCAATCATACATCCCAGAAGCTTCGCGGTGAAATTGATACATATATTCCCATCCCAAGTGCCCTTGCCCCGCCTCGCCACTAGACC